GGTTCTCCCCTTGCCAGCAACCACCGCAAGGACAACTTTACACACACACACAGCTATCTTCCTTTAGAGTAGTGGTCTACAAGCATAAGGGGTGTGTGTGCAAACAGAGAAGCAAGTGGACAGGGAAGCACTAGGCTTGTTCTTTTGATAATAACCCACCGTTATAGGAATGCCTATGAAACCCACAATGCTACAAAAAGCTAGCACTAACCCATTATCAAAGTGGAAGCCTATTACTTATACGTTCCACCAGGCCACCCTGTCAACAGTTCTTCCACCTCAAAATCACAGTACTGAAGGCCAAGTCTCCAGACAGGAACCTCTAGGACACAAACTATAAATACAGCAGTGACTAAAACCACAATTTTGGAAAGCATTAATTCTTCTTGTGACCAGCAGGAACTTAAATCTACTGATTTCTCTTGATTCTTCTCTTTCTATACTTCCTGTGAAGGCATTAATTCAGGGCCACTATTTTTCTGGACTAAAACCGCCCAGTTAGCTTGCCTACTTCCAGCTCCACCGTTTTCCAATCCAGTCTCCATACTGCATATTAAGTCTAAACTGAAGTGCAAACCAATCCACTAACTTAGAAGTTTTTTGTTTTTTTTTTTTAAATTCTACAGCTATTGCTCCCAAGTTACACTACTGAGCTATAAATTATGTTTCATTACTTGGTGAAAATAATTGAAACAAGTATCTTGTGTATGTCTGAGAATCTAGGATATAGTCATATATTACCCAAGTCTATGCCTGTAATCACAATAACATACTAACTACTCCCACTACGAAAGGTTAATTAATGAAGAATCAAAGATGGCAGTTTGGACACACAACTGATCTCTCCCAAAGGAATAGAATGGTTTTATTTTCTAAAGTACCAAGTCTGAGTAAATAGAGGAAGGCAGTGAAAGAACTGTGTACTCCCAAGGAAGTGTCAGTGCTGCTAAGTTAAACTCAGAAAAAGACTTGCTCCATACAATAGTTGTTGTAATTTAAGAAAAGTAGCAGGTGCCGGAAGGTGGTGGTGCACGCCTTTAATCCCAGCACTCAGGAGGCAGACACAGGTGGATCTCTGTGAGTTTGAGACCAGCCTGGTCTACAAGAGTTAGTTACAGGACAGCCTCCAAAAGCCACAGAGAAACCCTGTCTTGAACCCCCCCCCCAAAAAAAAAGAAAAAAAAAAACAAACAAGAAAAGTAGCAGGCAAGAGATAGATACCACGCTACAAGGTTCAAGCAGAGGGCTTTTATTAGGGAAAGGGATCAAAAAAAAAAAAAAATGGGAAGGGGGAGACAGACCTCCAGAGACAGGAGCAGCAGTGCGAGTGGGGTAGAGAGGGATGGGAGGAGAGAGAGAAAGGGAGAGAACAGATAGAGAGGATGGGAGGTAGGCAGGGCCCTTTTAAAGGGGAACATATAGTGGGAAATTACGAATACGGAGTCGGGTAGAAATATAAGGGTATGTAATAGGGAAAAGCCTTACTTACAGAGCGACCTAGCCAGCCGGCGTGGCAGCAGCCTGTACAGCAAGAAGCAAAGTGAAACCGAAAGCGCAAATGCATTAACACTACTTCACTCTGACCACGCCCTCACAAGCTTGGTCAGGCACACCTGTAGCCAGCCCCTAAGTAGGCGTGGCTACAGCTTCCCCTACAGGAACACAGTGAATATGCACAGGAGGTGCTCTTAGTGGCTGCAGCTGAGGGTGTATCCTGTCAGAATACCAAGAACCAGTCAGTACAGATACCTGAATACTAACAGACAGCAACTTGGAAAATATATGGTAGGGCATATTAACATCAGGATATTTGTACTTTAAGTTTTGTAGCTTCACTTCTAAATCATTTATACTACAGTATTAAAAAATAGAAACATAAGGAATTCAGTTTATTGTAGGATTTTTAATGCAAGCAAGCTTCCCAAGTTCCCTAAATATGCTTTGCATTCATAACCTAATGTAGATCATCCCAAAATATCTCCAACTAAATTTTAGAAATTATCTTATTTTTATTTTCTCTCTCCTCCCTTTCCCACCATGTGTGTGCCTGTGTGTGTGTGTATGTCTATGTGTGCATGTGCATACACGTGCCCTCTCCTTCCACCTTTACATGGGTCCTGGGAATATAACTCAGAGCATCACAATTGGCAGCAAGGGCCTTTAATTGCTTAGCCATCTCACCCATCCAAAATTATCACCTTGTCTCTACTGACTCCTTAAAATGTCAAATCCTATCTCTGAAACCTTGAGATATCTTTGAAGTGTGTGTGTGTGTGTGTGTGTGTGTGTGTGTGTGTGTACGCACGCACAAAAAATATTTTACATGTAAAGCTAAGATTTTGCCCTTTCATTCTAAAACTGTGCTGTCAAACAGGGTAAGCACCAGGCATACACAGCCACACATTAGCCACTGGTGTAGCTATAGCTAACAGAATTCCATCCCAGAATGCTGCACTGTGAGAAAACTGCCATCACTTCACCACACCCTAGTTGGTCACTTTCACAACATTGTGAGCCATGTGTCCTTATTAGCTCCAGTGAGATCCACAGTAACCCACTTGGTATTTCAACTATTTTATCACCTTGAGAGATTGAGTTGCCTGCAAATAATTATAGCAGTGGCAAGAAAAATCAATAAAGTATAATGAAATCAAGAATGCAATCAATTTGGGGGTTTAGATTAAGACTAAATTTGAGAAAAAGCAAAAACAAGTATAAAAACTGCAGTGTATGTTAACCCAAAGCCAATGCCCACTCCATCCTACTTACCCACTGGAATGTAATTAAAAAACACTTTGCAAAGATCTTCAAAGTGGTCTTTCCAATTATACTTGAGAATACCATTCATTAGCAATAACCTCTTTAATATAGAAGACATACATCAAGATCACAGTTTATAGTTGGTCAAGCCTCTTTAAAACCTTACTTTGTTGATTATCTCTCCAGTGCTAAAAAGAAGTTTTTAAATTAAAAAAAAAGATGTACTTTAGCCAAGCTTACTACATATACAGATTTCTGTAAGCCGCATTTCCTAGCTCTCTTTCTAGAGTATTATCACAAAAAACAACATCACTCAGCTAAAGTGTTACTCCCAAAGGGAGTCTGCTTTTAAAATTGAAACGACTCCCATCACGGCTACTTACCCAAAACTTTTAGAACTCAAATCAAGGCAAGACCAGGCACCTCACACTTCACATAGAATGTCAGAAAACAATGAAAATAAAAGGCACTTCCAAAGTCGTGTTGTATGAATTTATTAAATAAACATTTATTACCATTATAAATTTCTTGAATCAGGTAGCTAGCAAACAGCAAATATTTATTTAATAGGCTACTGTGTGCAAGGTTTGGGGCTACTGTACAAAACAAAAACAAAACAGAGTCCCTGCTCCCAAGGAGCGCACAGTCTAGCTGAAGCACAGGCACAAACACAATGGCAAAGCACAGCAGTCACCATGGAGGAAGGGACAGGATTCCCAGAGATGAAGGCAATGGAGCTGAGCCTCAGCTGAGGAGTTCGCCAGATGGAGGGGGAGGGGAAGCACATTCCAAGCAGAGGGAACAGCACAGAAGCAAGCAGGTCCTGAAAATGCATGCCATGCTGCAGGGTGAGGAGCAAGAGAAAGGACCAGAGCAGCTAGAGCAGAGGAGTGCATACAAACTAGAGACGAATTAGTGTTTGCTTTTTAATGAACCATCACTGTCAGAAAGTAGAGCTTCAAATTACATTAAATAAGGCTGAAATGTGATTCTGGGAACAATAGGAGAGTTTAAAAGCACTGTTCACAATTAGGGCTTTCTGTAGGTACTGGGGTGGCACTGTGGCTAGTTTTAAAGTGGCAGTTTTAGAGAATCTGAATTGTCTTATATATACACACATATACGTATACACACATGTACACTAGTGTGTGTGTTTCAGAAAAGGAAAAGACAAGGAGGAAGAGCTTGAACCAGAAAGCTTCCTCAACTGAACACGGAATTGCATTGGGTCAGTATTTTGCTAAATGTTTTTATGTAAACTCCCACTTTGTTTTCACAATAATGCTATGGGAGAAGTTTTATTAGCCTATTCTACAAGACACCTGAGGCCTTCAGAGGCTTCAACTTCAGAAAACTGTCTGCCTGTATCAGATATTACACTATGACAGACCATATCAGCTAATCCACAGCACAGCCAGTTCATCAAGCTCATGCCTGCCTGAGTGCAAAGCCTGAATGACTGCTTCACTTCCATCAGTCAAATCCTATGAAATGCCTCTACTTCTCTATTTTCACAAGATTGTTGTGAGAAAGTGGTGATGGTAAAACAGAGAGTCCTAAGATTTATGAGAATGAAAACCTTTAACAATTGATAACAATATCATTAAAATCATTGGCTTCAGTATCTGCAGTGGTGACATCACCTAGCTCTGACTCAGCACTAGAGGAACCATGAAGGCAACGAGCTGTCTATGGGTCATACATGGCCAGTTGTCCTTGGAACAACAGACCTTTTTTTGTAAAGATACTAAAGCTTTAATCAAATTAGATTAACATACTCCAGTGGACTTCTTTATATTGCTATAAAATAATCAACCAAGCAGCTCCAGAAAACTAAAGCCTAGTGAAAAAAATCTGAGGATGAGACTAATGATGCCTAGGAATCGGTATCATCAAATCTTCAAAGTCAAAGTCACATTGCCCATCTTCAAATTCTGAACTTCAAAATTACCATGTAATTATACATTATGTGGTAATGCTGCCTGTTTTTAGGAAACAGAAAAAAATACTTAAAAAACAAAAACCAAAGTACAATACTTGTTGCTGATCTATCAAAATACTGAAATGACATATCCTGCACAATTACTCGCACTTTCTCTGTTCAAGTACTTCCAAATATAGAAAATCAAATCCTGCTTGTAGTGGGGAGAGACACTCAGACAACAGAGACCTGAATGGCACATGAGACACCTGTGGAGAGCTTGGGACATGCATGTCTGTGCTTGAGTACATTTACCAACCTTGTTCTGGTTGAGAGGGTCATTCCGCAGTCTCTGCTTGTTCTTCTGTAATTTACTAGGCATCATCTTGCCAGTTCTGAAGTCAAAACTGCTGAGGTCAACGGCATTTCCCAGGTACCTTGCCAGCTGCGGTTTACTTCTGAACTTCTTACCACTTGGACTAGAAGAAGAAAAAAGTTGAATTGTACAAAAGGAAATATTAAAAGCCTCTATATAACCCTATAGAAACTTTTTTAACAGTAATTTCTGTTCCTGAATGTTATAAATTATAATTATATGAGCTTAGTTTAATTTTGCAATGATTACAAATCTTGAAGGAATTCCTTAACTTTCTGCAGAAAGAGATACTGTATCATTTAATACAGCTCTCCCCTGGGTGCACACTGGCGCACACTGCACATGCTGCTGCTGATTGCCTTGCTATCACTCAGCTAACTGCCTGAGAACTGAGCACAGCACAGCACACTCCCTGCAAGAGTCTGCATTCTCACCAACTCCTTTCCAAACTGGCTTTGGAAAACACTGGCTTATATACCATGCCAAGAGCTTTAAAGTCAGTAACCAGTTTAAAACATCTGAATTTGGAATTCACATAATCTGGCATGTGTATAGTATCTGTAATAGAAAAAAAAGCCTCAAATTTTGACACGTAAATGCTTTCTACTAATACTAAAACTATAATAACTAGAAATGAAAAACAAGCAAGAACATCTGGAAACCTGTTTATAAAATTCTGACATGACTTTTGTTTGGCAAACTATCTAAAATAAGCATATTAAGTAAGCAGATTGTATGTAATAACAACTAATGAAAAAAGAGGCCATAAATTTGAAGACCTGAGAGGAATATATATGAGGATTTGGAGGGAGGAAAGAGGAGAAATTTTGTAATTATAATAGCAAAAGTAAAAATAAAAAAGCACAGGAATCTAAAGAGAAAAGGTTAAATAAAATAAGCCGATCAAAAAAAAAATTTTTTTTTCGAGACAGGGTTTCTAGGAGCCTACCCTAACACTCCCTCTGGAGACCAGGCTGGCCTCGAACTCACAGAGATCCGCCTGCCTCTGCCTCCCGAGTGCTGGGATTAAAGTGGCTGGCATGCCACACCTAGAATTTAACTCTGCACTAACTAGTCACAATAAGTGAAAAATAATTCAACAAAGAACTTTAAAACAATGAAAAACAAAACAATAAGACATTACTCTGAACTAAAGTAACTTCAAGCTCAAGTCTAAGAAACAATGCATGTCACCTGTCACATTCTACGGTACTCTATCATCACAGATTTTGGACAGCTGGAAGAACTATTAACCTTTGTTTTTCACAATCCCATGACTTAAGCATACTTGGAACACAATTCAAATTATACAAAATCTATCCAACAGATGCCGATTACAATCACCAACAACCAGACCATAAAGGAATAAAATAAAGTAGCAAAAACCAAAATCAAGTCTGGGAAAGAACACATGATCCCATACAGAATACCTCAAACCCAATTGCAACTTATACTGGAAACTCTGCTCAAACCACACAATAAACCATCAGGGTACTTTCAACACCGCCCTAAGCTTGATAAATCACTACCAACCACATGCTTCCCCCTCCCTCCCTGCCTATACTTGATCAGTTATTCCCATCTTTGCCAGGAGCATCACTGCCCACGTGGCACCTAACCCTCCAAGCTGGATGGACACTAACAATCCTTCAGCGCCCACATCCCTCTGCCACTCATCCAGCACTAAGTTCAAACTCTATATGCTCAGATTCCCCAATGGTGACAAAATGCCTTCCCCTTACCCCATCATCAAAAGAGCTCAATCAAATGTACTGTTTGCAGACTTTTTCCTGTCAACTTTGGTATCCTGAATTCCAACCTCAGTCTCTGAAATATGCCATGTACCTGTGATTCCTCCCAGTCTATCTTTCCCGATAGGAATGAACTTATCAATGAGATATCAAATCCTTCAAGCCTACCTCAATTGTCACGTACCTAGGTAGCCTTGTTATCCTCAAATTCAAATGAAAAACAACTGCACAATCTTCTGAAATTTTATTCCATTATAATTACTATATGTTTCCTTGACTCCTATGTTCCAAGAACCAAATACTGTAAACCCCTTTTTCTAAAACTCTCAAATGAGAGTTTTTCTAAAGCTCTCAACTATTAAACAAAGTAACTTTCTGGGAGCAAGAACCCTATCAATTGAGTAAGAAAGAATGCAGTTTCCTTTCGCAGGCACACTAGTATATGAAGCATATACTTAAAATTAAAAATTTCATGTTTAGTCAGTTTAGTAACATAAGGCTTACTAAATCACTCAAATTAATTTGAAAAGTTATAAAGAAATACCGTATTTCTCAGTCATTTATATCACTAGTTTTAATTAAGGTAGAAGCCTTTGTAATCAAATAGTCATATGACTGGTAACATTCTGATAAACTATCCTAAAAATGGAGTGAATAAGGGAATGGAGGGGGAGGGGTGGGAGAGGGAAGAAGCTAGGTTAGGAATGCAGGCTGTGATCTCAGCTACTTAGAGGCCAAGCAAGAGAGCTCAAGCCCAGCCTGGGCAGCTGCTAAGAGATAAGGGGCGATGTAGCTCAATGACAGGATGCTCACACCTAGCACCTACATCTCAGCATCTCCAGTACAAGAAAAAACAAGAAAACATCTTTTCACAAAATAAAAATGACAAATCTCATTCAGATTTCCCCCCTAGGGATCCTTTTAATGCAATAAAAGGTGGAGCTCCAGCGTGGACCTTCCTTCAACTGACTTTCAGAATGTGAAACTATTCAGACAGTATTTTATCAAAAAGATAAGCCCCACTGTGCTTAGCATGTGGCTGAGACAAACAGAAAGTCATTTTGGGAAGAACCAACAAATTTCAAAGTTGAATGTGCAAGAGGTATTTCCTTATGTGTTGAGTCACCTTGAGAATACACCAGCACCTCAGTGTCAAGGCTTCTCCAGACAAAGAGTCATTACACTCCAGTCACTTCTCTCCTCAGACTCCAAGACTATTATGGGCTGCAGGCACAGGTCAGGGTACAGAGCTGGCCCATCAAGCACAAAGCCCAGGGTAAAAGTCTCACATACTCCACTAATAAACTATAGAATTCAAGAAGGGTAAAATGCACATTTGCAATATTAGCACTATCAAGTAGTGCCTCGTAAGCTCTGCTTCACTCCTGTCACACAAATGGGACTCTGCAAGGCGTCTAGCAGATATGTGCCATGCAGAAAACTAAGGCCTTTCTGTAATGAGCTTCAAGAAAGTAAACCTGCCTGGCCCAGGGAATTTTAAGATCAGAGACCTTGCTCTGTAGGAGATGGGGCAGGTAATAGGAGGACAAAGCCCAAGAGAACAGTTAAGGAGGAAATATGCTCGAGACTCCACCATCTGCACAGCAGCAACTGATGCTGTGAATGTCCACTGAGCACATACAGTGACTACATTCCCACCCACCCTCTAAGATGGCTGCTACCCAAAAACACCAGGACTTGCAAAGTGACTAAGCTTTTATTCTAGAATGTCAATGAGTTTTTTATTCTCGAAGTATCAATTCATAACGTAAGTCTACAGTATTGCTTTTTTTAACACTAGTAGATTGGTGAATGATATTAGTCACTTTCAGTTTGCTCTGACCCAAGTTAATCCAGTAACGAAATACTATCTCAGTTTCAACCACAAAGAAAAAATCCCTGTCAAATGCCCCCATTCCTAAACTAACTTGCAATCATGCATTTAATTTCTCTTACCCACGATATAATTAAAAATCAAAACCATGAGTTGAATCTCAGTTCATATGAAGACATTTTCATCACTTGAGCCTATCTTCCTTTATTTCTGTCAAACCATTTAAAGTGATTGTTAAACCTAACTCCACCTTAAAGATTCCTTAGATTTGCATATTTATTATATATTCAGTGTTCTGTCTGCATGCATGCCTGCACACCAGAAGAGAGCACCAGATCTCATTATGGATGGTTGTGAGTCACCCTGTGGTTGCTGGGAATTGAACTCAGGGCCTCTGGAAGAGCAGCCAGTGTTCTTAACCTCTGAGCCATCTATCTCTAGCCCAAGATTCTTAAATATAATTATCCAAAAGAAACTTTACGTAGAAGAAAATATTAAATCTGTACCTGACATGGTAGAATATTTAGTGTCATTTGCACTTCGGTCACATGGTGAACTCACCTGAAACCATCATCGACTGAGACAGACAACTGCATCCTGCCGTGCCACCCTGCCTCCACAGACCTGCAGTATGCAACTAAAACTATCCTCTGATGCCCCTCCACTAACAGCAGGACACATTTTGATGATATGGTGAGCCATAGGTTTAGTGACTGCTACAAAGAAGACACATTCTTTCTTTCTTTCTCTTTTTTTTGGGGGGTGGGGGGTTTCGAGACAGGGTTTCTCTGTGGCTTCGGAGGCTGTCCTGAAACTAGCTCTTATAGACCGGGCTGGTCTCGAACTCATAGAGATCCCCCTGCCTCTGCCTCCCGTGTGCTGGGATTAAAGGCGTGCGCCACCAACACTCAGCACATACTTTCAAAGCCAGCCATTGCTGACAACAAGGGCTGTGAGCATGGCAGTCACTACAGTGGAATGATACATAGCAGTCTGTGAAGGACAGGGTCATCTCACAAGGCAGAGGGCTGGCTACACTGCTGAAGAACACATTCACAAGCACAGCACTACCCACCATGATCAAAGCCCCCCACACACACACACACACAAAAAAAATCTATATACTTTAACACTGGAAAAGACTAAACTAATCGAAACATCAATTTTTAAAAAACAAATTTTTTAATGTATTTTATATGTATGGGCATTTTGCGAGCATGTATGTTTGATACCACATGTGTACAGTGCCCTTGTTCCCTGGAACTGGAGTCACAGACAGGCGTGAGTCACAAATGCACTCACGTCCTTTGGAAGAGCAGTCAGTGCTCTTAACCCCTCCCTGAGCATCTCTCTAACCCCTTAGAGTTTTTAAGTTGTTTCTTTTCCTCTTTAAATTGTTCAAGTTGAGTAAATACTCAAAACAAAAGATTTCTGTAACATTAAAAACAACTCCCTGAGAAACCAAATTTTGATCTGAGGCAAAAAAAAAAAAAAACTGTGAAAACTGGAATCTTTTATACTTAAATGCAAACCTTGTCAGAAAACTGCCAAATGATGCTTTTAAAATGAGTACCCCTGCTTCAGAAAACAGTGTGGACTGACAGGATGATGGACTAAGGCTAATCCTCACAACTCCTCCACTCCCTGCAAATGTAAGCTCTCCTAAAAATGGACAGCCCGAGCCCCCTGTACAACATGCCCCAGTGGATTATTACTTACTTTCATATTATTTCTATCTCCAGGTCTGATCACTTATTAATCACCTTTTAACTCATCCTGAGCATGGCCACAGTCAAAATGGTCTCAATCCCCTCAGGTCATACTATCTGCTAGTCTCTGCAGTCTAAGGTATCCAAAATGTTCTTCCTAAAACAGCACCTCAACCATAACAGCTCCTCTTTAAAAGCTGTCAATGTAAATTTAGTTTTTAGGATATATAACTTTTATGTTTTATGTAAGCTTAAAATATATTTAAAACATAAAACTAATAGTGGTCAGGGGATTTTCCCAATTAGCAAGAGAGAGAAGTACGTCAGGCCTGCATTTGAGGCCCCTTTTAACCTGGCTCCCTTCAACCTTTCAACCCTACTTTCCACTTCTCTTACCCCATGGCCTTTGTTCCATACATATTGGTTAATTCATTCTATCATGAATGAGCTGGGCTGAATGACCCATCTTTTACGTGGTCCATAATGCAACACTGCAATCTCCAACATCTCCCCTGGAGACTCCTACTTTTATTAACCTAACTCCTATGTCTACCATGAAGACCCACAGCACTCCTCTGAACCCATGCAGAAAGCACCCCGTGGCAGAGATAAACATGACGTGACTGCTGACTTTTCTTCTAGTTTTGCAATACTGAGTGAGCCATGTGTGGTTATAAAATTTCCATGTTTCAATTTTACCACCACATGCAACCTGCTGAAGAGGTTCTTTATGAATGAAATCATACAGTATTAAATTTGCTTCCAGTACTGAAGGCTGGGTTGGGGTAACAACCTGGGATAGAGCTACAGTCATGCCTCCCCAGCTACAACAGATTGTACCCCTTTCAATTGTAAACAAAAATAAACCTATAGGTCACTCCTTACTGAATGTGTTGCCTATCTCGTTACCTGAGCAAGGACAGTATTACTCCCTGTGTCAAATATTGTGAGGTATATAGAGCAATCAGACCCCACTAATAAATGGGCAAACAAGAACCCAGGGAAAGCTGTCTTGTTCACGTGCACCACTGTTAAGCCAGGAGTTAGAGAACCATCTCTAGATTGAATCTCCAGCTGCCTCCTCTGGAGACTCCTACTTCTATTAAGATCATTGTGTTTTTTATGGACTTCAACAACATCGGAGTCCTGTTCTTTCTAGTTCAAGAAAGTGAAACCAGCCAAGAACGATAGCATGTGCCTGTAATTCCAGCATTTGAGAGGCTGAGATATACGGTTGCCACTACTTCAGAACCAGTCTGAGATTATATGCCTAGTACCAGGACCAACAAGGGCTGCACAAGAGGGAGGGAGGGAAGGAGAGAGGGAGGGTGGAGGGAGAGAGGGAGGGAGGAAGAGAGGGAGGGGGGAGAGAGAATGCAAGAGAAAGCAAGTTCCTAAAGAACCCATGAAGAGAAAAGTTTTTCAGAAACACAAACCAGCACGTGTTACACAGAAAGCCAAATACTGGAAATGGAGGATCAAGGCCAGTAAGAAAGTTACTGTCTTATGGGTTCAAACATGGCAATGAATTTCTTCAGGAACTGTACCAATGGATCCAGTAATTTAGCAAACCACACCCTTTTTTAAAACATGGTTTGGATGATAATATATAAACTGCCACAGCACTATCTCAGTAACCCTGACAGAAGGCGTAATTATAGTACTTAATTGGCAACCAGAAGTACTTCTATTATAACTTGGGCAGTTTCAAGATACAGCCAAAACACAAGCCTTCCCCTGTACATTTAATTTCAGCCCAATTAATAAGTGTCAGGCACGCCCTCTGTTAATAGGCATGGCTTAGTTTAAATATCTCCCCAGGAGCAGACTAATTCAGGGGTTAGCATTATTAGAATCTGTGTGAACAGCTGGGTAAAGGTGTTCACATTACCAGCAGGAGAGTTCACACTTAACCTACCATTACCAGAAATTCTGAGCTCCTGGTTTAAAGGCAGGTATCATATGGGACACCAAAATGTAAAACTGAAGTCTGAGAAGTAACATGAACTCAGTTACACTGGCCCATCACCATAAAATCCACCACAGAAAGTTGCCATCAGAAGTCAAAGAAACTAATGTGCTGCAAGCTTCACACTGAATTTCATGCCTTAGTATTCATAGGATAGCCTCTGAAGAGAATCACAACAGGTGATTCTACATAGTCACTAATACCTTGCAAGAGGTCAACAAACTGCAAACACTCTTTGTAGCCCTAAATAAGCACCAATCTCTTCAATGTCCTTTCCATTTCAAAGAAATCACACCGTAGTCTTATAAAAAGATAATTACGACTAAAGTGTTTAATGAATTTCCTAAAGATGAATTTGTACAGAAAGATGGCTTTCAATTGATTAAATTGGGATTATCTACCAAGAAGCATTAGTATTTAAATTTGAAAAAGACAGGAAGGAAGGAAGAAAGGAAGGAAGGAAGGAAGGAAGGAAGGAAGGAAGGAAGGAAGAAAATTCTACTATTAAAAATGTAGAACAGTCAGGAAAATGTGACCATGAACAGACGGGAGTTCTGTGGCAACATGATTGGTTTCTGTTTGTCTACTCTTGTGTAGTACTGGACCAGCCCAGAGCCTGGAGGATACTAGGCAAGGTTGGAGGAGATGGCTCAGTGGGTAGAGCACCTGAAACACAAGTGTGAAGACTAGAGTGTGTCCCTAGAATCCATGCAAGAGCTGACTGTCCTGCCTGAATCCCGCCCTCTCAACACACTTGGAAGAGGCCAGCTCCACTGGATGAAAAGGCCAGCTCTAGGATCTGTCAGAGACCTTGACTAAATATGGAAGACATAGAGCTATTAAGGAAGAAACCTGATGTAAATCTCAGGACTTCACACCACATATGCATACATTACGTAAAATTCTAGATGTGTACGGTGGCACACGCCTTTAGTCCCAGTACTTTGAAGGCAGAGCCAGGCAGATCTCTCTGAGTGCAAGGCCAGCCAGAACTACATGAGGCTCCATCTTGATGATGATAATAGTAAATAATCAAAAATTCTAGGCAAGAGTTCTACAACAGTCCAAAGCTCTGGTTGTTTTATTTTTCATTTTTTACATATATGTGTTTATTATTCGGTACATATGCAGTGGACAGCGTGCATATGATGACAAAGAGGAGGGTAGAGAAGCACTTCTGAGAGTCAGTTTTCTCCTTTCACCATGTGGGTTCCAGGGATCAAACTCAAGTCATCAGGCTTGACAGCAAGCACCTTTACCTGCCAACCCATCTCACCAGCCTGTAATGTTGTATGTCCAGAACAAGAATCCCATCACATTAACCAGGATGTTCAAAACTCCTGGGCTCAAGTGATCCTGTCCCTCAAATTTCCTGAGTATCTGAGACTAGAGGCATGTGCAATCGCACCCAGTTTGGCTTTTGAAATAGCTTTTCCAGCTATGTATTGGATACATTGGAAAAAGAAAAATACCAGCTTTTCTATAATGCAAAGTTAGTTTGAATAAATACATCACTCCAAAACCAAACAAACTGTATCCCAAGACAAGTTCTGTAAGCAATGAAATACAAACTCTACAATGCTCAACTGAGAATGGAGCTTTCTTCAAGGGATTCAATCCCAGATTTAAAAAAAAAAAAAAAATCTTGTCAGTTACATCTGCCTCTAAGTCATAGGCAGCAGTTCACACAAAGCCTATGTAGACTGCTTACCTAGAAAAGATAACAGTCAAATGAAATCCAAAACAAAGAAATGTAAACAGCAGTAAACAAATGTATCTGAGAGTAGTAGTGTTTTAACTTTTTGTTTTGTTTTTCAAGACAAGGTTCTCTGTGTAGCCCTGGCTTTTCTGGAACTTGCTCTGTAGAATAGGCTGGCCTCGAACTCAAGAGATCTACCTTCCTCACCTCCTGAGTGCTGGGATTAAAGCTGCAGGCCACTATGTCGGGCTAGTATTTTATATTTAGCACCATTACAGCACTGAACTGAACAGCGATGGAGAAATTAAAACAAACCCACAAAAATCATCTTCATACTTTGTTTTCTAGCCAGGCCTGGTGGTACAGAACTGCAATTCCAGCTACACAGGGGGCTGCACAAGAGCACAAACAGCTAAAGGTAAATTCAGTCCGGCTGGGAAACTTAACAAGGCTCTTGACACAAAATTTTAAAAGGGGGTAGGGGGCAGGTTATAACTCAGTTTACAGAATTTGCCCACCCTTTGCAAGGAACAGATTCAATCCCCAACACTGAAAATAAGTTGTCTCAAACAAAGTGAAAGAATGAGTTGGAATACAAGAGCTGAAAAGAGTAAATTAATCATCCCTGTGTCTGAGCAACGAGCAAGAATGTGTTCAGAGTCTGGAGAGACTGCTCAGTGGCAGAATCCTTGCCTATGGAT